CACTCACCGACGCATAGTAACTCTTCACCGCCCCCACACTGCTATCGTACTTCCCTCTGTACCTGTCCCCAAACTCAAACAGCTGCACCACCACACAAAATCAAAATACCTCCAATGTTCACGAATTTTGACGGCAACGAGGAGATTAATCATACCTGTTGAGCGTGGTGGAGGAGCAGGTGAGAGTAATGCGGGTCGGATTTCCTGAAGACGACCGAGGCCGCAGCCATCGCCGCGGCGGTCTCCGCTGCGAGATCCGACCCTGGGTTCTCAGCGTCGATTTTGTACGCTTTACGCGATGTAGTCATGTCCTCAGGCCTCTGCCAGCAGTAGTGGTCTGTGTCGCCGTCTCCTACCTTCGCCGTTCAAATTAAGCAAATCAATCCTTGCTCTATTACTATACGTATACTAAAAACAACAAATGCAGGTTTGCGCGAATATAAAAAGTCGTAGTATTCTTCTTCCAGCTTTCGTATATCGTACAACATTAATATCTTTATGTCAGTCCCATCAGAATTCAACAACTAAAACCCATTAATAAAGTTGAGCTGTTGGCGGCCTACCTCGGCCCAGAGCACGTTGGGGCTAGTGTGAGCCTTGATCGGCAGGCCGAACTTAACGTGGTCGCCGGCGTCGTAGTATCCCCCGACAAGATCAACCTGCACGTACGAAATTAAACAGAAACGGTATTGTGAAATTTTATTCAGCTTGGGAGAATAAAAAAACAAAAAATTGATCGACGATGAGAGATCGGTAGGGTGATATTACTCCTTGTTGGAGCCCGTCGGTGAGCCCCGAATGCCCTCGCCATCGAACGCGCTGGTTGTAAGGGAGGTGGCCGGACCGCTGGGCCTCGAAGTACAGAAGGCTTTTTGATAGGGCGTCCTTGTAATCAAATGAGGATACGGGGGCGAGAACTGAGAGAAGAGATATTGCAGCCGCAATGAAGATTGAAGGGAGCCCGTTTCTCCCCATTCTCGGTTCTGGTCACCGCTAGCGCTGCCACTGGAAGAAGCAGAGGAAATGAAGAGGGGGGTAATGTGATACAAAAGCATGTGGTCTTCACATGGGGAATAAAAGAGAGAGAGCGGGGTATTCCTTTCTTTTGGGGTTACCCTACGATTTATGTTGTTCAGTTGGAGAGATTGAGTAGCGCAAGGGGAATGGTTATCAAGGGGAGTGGTTTGCATTTAGAAGGGGTAAATTTTACAAAACACACCAAAATGTTGCGCCCGTTTGTGTGAGGATCCCCTTGATCTTTTCCAACGAAGCTCCGGATTTAATTAATATTGCCAGTTTTGATTTGTAATTGTAACTGCAGTTGCAGAGATTAGTGTAATGACTCTTGAATCATAGAAGTTTAACTTATAGTGAATGGGTTTGGAATAGGCCCCCACGTCTACCGAAAATTAACCTCAATGTTCAAAGCTTCCTTATATATAATAATTAGAACCAACGGTTCAACAGAAATACAATAGATTTGAAATTTTTAAACAAGAAAGAAGATTAGTGATCATGACCTCTGACCTTAATACGTGCAGGGGGGTGAGTTGGGGATTTTGTGGGTAAAGTTAGCGGTTTCATGGAAAATGTAAGGGGGGTTTGATGGGAAAAAGAAATTTAACGGGTATTTTTAGATAACGGTTCAAAATTCTTAGGTGTGTTTGAAAAATGTTCCGTTAGAAAATTCACCGGCTGGGCTTTCTGTCGCTCACCTACACGCACACATCCCAATTATTATTATCATTATTATTTTCTTCTAAATTATACGAAATTGGATCCTTAAGCTTCTCGCATTGGCTTGGGGCTTGGGACTTGAGAAGAGAGGAAAGGATCATATTCCGCAGGATTTGGTGGGAAAAGTGAGAGAGAAGAGATTGATGGGTACTTTGGTTGACCCGATGGAGTTGTTTAGTAAAGGTTCAAGAAATGAGGGCTCTTGTGATTTGTTTTTATTTATTTATTCAATATTTGGAAACTGAGTTCATATATATATACTATTTTTTAATTAGTCTGGAGGCAATTACTCTATTCATAGTTAAAAAGTGGAGTTGGTGTTTGGGTTTAATTCATTGGATTTTGGTCGAGTCATGGAATGGTTGGCTACTTTATGTATTACTTTTCAAATACACAAATTTATAGTTATACACGTTACAAGCAGTGGTAGAGCTACATTAGGCTCAGGGGGCTTCATCTTACCTTGAATTTTAATAAAAAAAATTAAACATGTATGATTAAATTGTTGGAACGATAGTTCTGGTATAACATTGTTCGTGCAATATTCTTTGTTTGATCAAAAACATACTCCCATTTGCTACTGATATGTTTACAATATGATATAGTATAGGCAAGTACAAATAAGTTACAGTTTAAAACAATACAAAATCAACACAAATGTTGGTTTTAGCCTTGGAAACATTGATGGCCACGAGGCACTATCGATGGTCAGTCAAGTCATTGATGGACTATAGGAAAGAATCAGAGAAATATAAACTAGATTTCAAACCATCGACGGTCTACAGTCGACCATCGATGGACTACAGTCAACAATCATAGCAATCCATAAACCAAAATTTGCACAATCGATGATCATATCTCACCATCGAGGGTTTGGACACGATTTGGCGGTTTTTGAAAGTTTTTAAGATCCAATCTCAGTCGTTCCTTAATAGTTTTGGACTTCTATTGGAACTCTGATTAGAGTATTTCTTTCCTATATTTTCAAGACCAATTTAAAGGGGAATTGAGAAAGAGAATAAATAACAAGAAGAGAGAAGGCAACTAGGGTTTGTGAGAGAGTTTGATTTGAGAATTCAACCTTGGCCTCGTTCAACTTTCATCTCGTCGCTCACAACATCGAAGGATTGTTTCAGAGAGAAGAACTATCATTTGCATTCAAATTCAACATCGCTTCTTCACGGATCTTCATCATTATTGATTTAAAGTGCAGTTTGTTAAAAGCACTGTAAGATTTTTCTAATTGTACTTTAACTATATTTGGGTTGGTTTTATATTTTAAACTTATAAGTTTGATAGCGTACTCAAGCAGTGGTAATTAAGGGTTAGCGTAATCAAGCTAAGTGAATAGAGGGTGTCTAGCTAGGGCTAGGTTTCCTCTGGTTATTGTGAGGAGTTAGGTTAGTCGATCAACTGGTTTCGGATAAATTCTAAGGTCTCGTCTATAAAGCCTACTAAATTAGGTTGTGATTTGGAAGAACTTTGGTCATAGTGAAGAATGTTCTTCGCAGAAAGGAATAGTATACGTAGGATTTTGATCCGAACCACTACAAAAATCTCGTGTTTTCCTATGTTGATTTGCTTTTGGTTTTTTGCATATTATTTCTGCTGCTTATTCTGAGTTTAGTTAAAAAATTATAGCAATTCTATTCACCCCACTCTAGGCTTGTGTCCAGTTCCAACATAATTTTTTATAGTAATATTATATGGAGACCTTAACTTTATTAAGTTTAATACTATGGATTCATATGTGTGTATGTGTGTGTGTGTGTGTGCGCGTGTGTGTGTAGAAATATGGATATGCTTGGTACCAAGCATAAGTTTTTGTGCTTGGTAGTGAGGCGTCTAATTCTCATCCACTCATTCAAATGGGGAACTACATTCACATGTATTGGGGAGAGTAGGAGAATGGGACACCTCACTACCAAGCATACCCATTTTTTCATATATATATATATATATATATATATATATATATAAGAAATATGGTATGCTTGGCGTACCAAGCACAAATTTATGCTTGATATGAATGTGTTACATCGCCTATCCACTCCCTACCCATGTGAAATGTTGATCCCAAAATTTGAATGAGTAAATAGGGGGTGTGACAACCTCTACTACTAAGCATACCCATATTTCTCTCCTACTTTATGAGTGATGGTGGCGATTGCTGCCACATAGGCTCAAGGAGAAGTATATACTATATATATACTATAATATATATATATGGATAATGGGTATCCTTGTCCGATAGGAGGGATTTCCTCCTTGACGCCTCTTAAAATCACATGACTGAGCGATATTCATGCATGATCCGCTCCGTTGAAACTTGATCTACATATTTCTAAAATCCAACACACCAAGTTTGGGGTGAATCCGTCGTCGTTCTGACCCTTCCATCGAGCCATGTGAAAAGTGTTATTCATTCAAAAACCGTTAAAATTGATACGAAGTGCGATGAAGGCGTCAAACAACGACGAGGTTCACCCCAAACTTGTGTGTTGGGTTTAGAATTATGTAGATCAAGTTCAACGGAGCGGATCATCCACAATGTTCGCTCAAATCATTGATTTTAAAAAGCCCGTCAATAGGATGGACAATCCTCCTCTATGACAACGGATACCATTAATATCTCTCTCTCTTCTCTCTCTCTCTCTATTATATATATATATATCATATATATATATATATATATATATATATATATATATATATATATTATATATATATATCATATATATATATACTATATATATAATATTATATATAGCCACGGAATATGGCGCTTATACTTGGGCCAATAGATCCTTGGTAGTGAGTGGACACATCTTGTCCATACATCACACCTGAAGTTGGTGAGGCTCCCAGCTTAAGTGCTGATGTTAGTGGACAAGATGTGTCACATCACTACCAAGGATCCTTGGTACAAGTATACCCATTTTTCTCATATATATATATATATATTATATATATATATATATATATATATATATAATATATATATATATATTATATATATATATATAACTATATATATATATATATATATATATATTATATATCCCCCAACCTCACACACACACTCTCCTTACTGTTATGCAGCGCATGGATATATATATCCCCACCACTCAGACAACACTCTCCTTACTTTATGAGGATGGTGGGGATTGTGCCACATAGGCGTCAAGGAGGAAATCCCCTCATATGACAAGGATGACTCATTAATCTCATATATATATATATATATATATATATATAATATATAAAATATATATATTATATATATAATATATAATATATATATATATATATAGAGAGAGAGAGAGAGAGGAGACGAGAGAGCGAGAGATTAATGAGTATCCTTGTACATAGGAGGCGATTCCTTCCTTGACGCCTCTAAAATCACATGATTGAGCCGATATTATGGATGATCCTCTACGTTTGAACTTGATTTCTCATATTCTAAAACCCCAACACACGAAGTTTGCAGGTGAATCCTGTCTCGTTTTGACCCTACCATCGAGCCATGCTGAAAAGTTCTATTTATTCAAAAAAACCGTTAAAATTGATACCCGCACGTGATGCAAAGCGGTTCAAACGACGACGAGTTCACCCCAAACTTGGAATGTGTTGGTTTTAGATATGCTAGATCAAGTTCAACTGAGCGGATCATCCACATGTCGCTCAATCATGTTGATTTTAGAGCGCGTCAATGAGAAGAATCCCCTCCTGATGATAAGGCATACCCATTAATCTTAATATATATCATATATATATATATATATATTATATATATATATACATATACTAATATATATATATATATATAGTATATATATATAATATATATTTAGAGAGAGAGAGAGAGATGAGACGAGAGAGAGAGAAATATGCGGTATGCTTGTACACTGTACACAGCCGATAAAAATTTTAATACGTTCGGTAGTGATGGTCACATCCTCATCCACTCGACTACTCCATGCTGTAATTTTGTTTCCCAACATACTTGACATGAACGTGAGACCTGGAGTTTACACTATCGTGACTACCATAGCACAACTTTTAATAGCTTGTGTGCGCCAATGCAATCACAAACAAACAATATGATTATCTGCTTATACGCTCACCACGATATCCGTCTCTGAGTCTCACCTCGGATACGGTGAGATCCTATCTACTACTTCACACAACGGGTTATCTCTACGTATCACCAATAACAACGTATAACACTCACCAATACAATCACTATGTAATCACAACCTTCATACACTAATCGTGTTGCGTCTCCTAGCACCCGTGCTCCTCTCATCCCTTATATATATATAATATATAATATATTATATAAAAAATATATATAGATATATAGTATAATTATATATAATATATATATATATAATATATATATGAGATTAGATGCGGTATACATATGTCATTAATGAGGAGGCATTTCCCTCATATACAATGATGTGGCACAGGCTTCACCAAAGGAATAAAGTTAAGTGAGAGCAAATGCCTTCATAAAACTACACTTGGTGGATGTCTGCCACATCATTATAT